GATTCTGGGGCTTCGTCTGACATACTTTGGACATGTTGTAAGGAGGGAGAGGTCCTTGGAGAGGGACATCTTGCTTGGGAGGGTGGAGGGACGGCGCAGGAGGGGAAGACCCTCTATGAGGTGGGTTGATTCAATGACTGGGGTAATCGGGATGGGTGTGCCAGAGGCAGTGTGATTGGCACAGGATAGAGCAGGGTGTAGGGCTGTTGTACATAGGGTCACTATGAGTCACAAGCGACTCGATGGCACATAACAACAACAACAAGAATAGGTTTGAAGCACTGAACACCAATGATGACTTGTAGGATGAGATTAAGGATGTCATCCATGAAGAGAGCAAGAGATCATTAAAAGACAGAGGAGAAAGAATAAACCAGAATGGATGTCCGAAGAGACCCTGAAAATGGCACTGGAGTGTCAAAAAGCCAAAACAAAGGAAAGAGACGCTGAAATAAAAGAGCTGGGAAAATTCTTTTTTTTCAAAGGGAAGCTCAGAAAGTCAAAGCAAGCTATTCTAACAGAATGTTGAGAGACCTGAAATTGGATAATAAGAGGGAGAAAACTCACTCAGTATTTTTCATGCTGAAGAACTGAAAAACAAATTCAAGCCTCAATTTGCAATTCTTAGGGATGTTATGGCCAAAATCTTGAATGATGCAGGAAATATCAAAAGAAGATGGAGAGAATATATGGAATCACTGTACCAAAACAAATTGGACAGCACTGAAATATTTGGGAAGTACTGTATGATCAAGAGCCAATGTTAATGAAGGAAGAAATTCAAGCTACACTAAAGATATTGGCAAAAAAAAAAAAGATGTTGGCAAAAAAGGTGGCCCCAGGAATTGACAGGATATCAACCGAAATGTTTCAAATGAGAAATGCAGCCTTGGATGTGCTCACAAGTCTATACTAGGGAATTTGGAGGATAGCTGACTGGATGACTGAAAGAGATCAATATTTGTTCCCATTCCCAAGAAAGGTGATCCAATAGAATTTGGAAACAGTGGAATAAAATCATTAATATCACATGCAAACAAAATATTGCTGAAGATCATCCAAAAAAAACAGCTAGAACAATACACAGACAGGGAAGAGCTTGCAGATGTCAGATGGATCCTAGCCGAACACAAAACCAGAAGAATGCCTATTTGTGCTTTATTGACTATGCAAAGCCATGTGATTGTGTGGATTATAACAAATCATGGCTAATGTTGAGAAGAATCAGAATCTCAGAACACTTAATTGTGCTCATGGGGAATCTACACTTAGACCAAGAGGCTGTGTGAACAAAGCAAAGGAACAGTACACAGTTTAAAATTAAGAATTGTGTGCATCGAGGTTGTATCTTTCTCTATACCTATTTAATCTGTATACTAAGCAAATTATTTGAGAAGCTGGACTCTATGAAGAATGTGGCATTAGGATTGAAGGAAGACTCATCAATAACCTTCGTTGTGCAGATGACACAATCTTTCTTGCTGAAAGTGAGGAGGACTTGAAACACTTGCTGCAGAAAGTTAAATACTGCAGCCTTCAATATGGATTGCATCTCAATGTCAAGAAAACAAAAATCCTCGTTATTGGACCAATAGACAACACCATGATGGGTACAGAAAGAATTGAGCTTGTCAATGACTTCATCTCACTTGGATCCACAATCAGTACACTTGGTACTAGCAGTTAGATTAGAAGATGTATTGCACTGGGAAAGTCTGTAGTCAGGGACCTCTCTAAATTATTGAGGAAAATTATGCCAGTTTGAGTTCTAAGTTGTGCCTGATTTAGACTATTTCATTTTCATCTGGGAGCTGGATAATGAATAAGGATGATAGTAGAAGAATTGATGCCTTTGAACTGTGGTGTTGGAGAAGAGTACTGAAGAGCCATGGACTGCCAAAAGAACAAACAGGTATGTCTTGGAGAAAGTGCAGCCAGAATGCTCCTTGGAGGCAAGGATGATAAGGCTTAGTCTCACCATACTTTGGACATGTTGTTAGGAGAGGTTATTCCTTGGAAAGGGACACCATGCTTAGGAAGATGGAAGGGTTGTGAAAGAGAGGAAGACCCTCAACTGGGTGGATTGACACAGTGACTGTGGCAATGGGCTTATGAGAATCAGAGACTATGAGAATGGCACAGGACAGGACAGAGTTCCGATTGGTTGTTCATAGGGTCACTATGAGTTGTACTCAACAGCACTTAACAGCAACTTTAAAAAGACTATTTCTTTTGAAAAGTTCAATTTGGAGCTAATGGAGATTATTCATTTCTATGCTGGAGAAGAGTATTGAATAAACCATGGACTGCTAGGAGAACAAACAAGTTCATCCTCAAGAGGATGAAACCAGGCTGCTCTCTAGAGGCAAGGATTTTGAACGCTTCATCTGACATACTTTGGGCATGGTGCAAGGAGTGACCAGTCCTTGGAGAGGGACATAATGCTTGAAAAGGTGGAGGGACAGTGTAAGAGAGGAAGACCCTGGATGAAATGGATTGACTTAGTGACTGGGTTAATGAGGGTAGGTGTGTCAGAGAAAATGAGATTGACTCAAGATAGAGCAGGGTTCAGAGCTGTTGTGCATAGCGTTGCTGTGAGTCACAAGCAACTTGATGGCACATAACAACAACATTATTTTCTAAATTATTTCTGTATTTTAACCACCTGGCCAACTCAAACCCATTGAGTTGATTCTGACCCACAACAACCTTTGATTGGATTTCTGAGGCTGTAATCTTTTTATTTTTAAATAATTTTAATGAGCATTTACAGAGATTTTGGATTTACATTCATTCATTGCTGCACTTCTCTCCCCGCCCATCCCTCTCCCCACCCCCCAGTTCGATCCTCTCTTTCAAAAGTAAAAGAAACATTAATGGGAGAAGACTACTTCATCTTTCCACTAAGGAATAACTTGTGGAATTGAACCACTGATCTTCTGGTTAGCTGTCCAAGATGCATTAAATTTTCATTTTACCAGAAATACTTAAAATAGAATCATTTTGTCTGTGAATGAATATTTACATATAATAAAAATTGCCCATCTGATCATTTCTTAGTGTACAGTTTGGTAACTTCAGTTATATTCATAAAGCTAGGCAACTATTACCATTATTTCTTTTCAAAACTTTTTCATCACTTTAAACAGAAGCTCTGTAGTCATGAAACAATAACTTCCCAATCATCCTTCCCCTCAGCCTCTGGAAAACACTAATCTACTTTCTGTTTCTATGCATTTGTCTACTGCATTTTCCCCATAAAACATACTCGTATAAATAATGCACACACTCATTTATGTAACACACACACTCCATATAGGAAATAAATATGAAAGGAGCTTTATGATTTGCAAAACTCATACAGCATATACTTTATTTGCATTAATACAGTATTCTAGATATCTTGTTTCTTCTAAGTGGAACCATACAATACTTGTCCTTTTAAAGGTAGTTCTTGGAATTTTTCCTTCCCACTGCCCTAAATGTGTTCAGGGTTCATGTATGTTTTAGAACTTTTATTTAAGGCTAAATAATATTCCACTGGGATCTCTGATGGCTTAGAAGTGAAGAATTGTGCTGTCAACCCAAATGCATGCAGTTCTAATCCACCAGCTACTCCTCAGCAGGATAGGCATCTAAGAACAACAACTACTTTGTCAATTATGATGTCTTTCATGAAGGGTCCTTCCTGATAACACACCCAAAGTATATGGAGAAGTCTCACTTCCAGGGAATTTATTACTAAGCTTCTTATGTGATAGATTTGTTTATTTTCTGGCAGTCCATGATACATTTAATATTGTTCACTATGTAGGCCTAGTGGCAAGAAGCGCATTGCTATCCTGAAGGCACATGGTTCGAGGTCACCAGCTGCTCCTCAGGAGAAGGATGGGCAATCTCCCGTGAGATTAACTACCTCTGAAAACCTGCCTGAAGGGTCAGTTATGGGTTGGTTCAGACTCTATAGTACATACCAACTTCTTAAGTCGAACTAGGAATTTTCAGTCTTCCTATTCACCATCCAACAGCATATGAGGCAACTAAGAATAGCCTGGTTTGGGTAAAGTGCACGGTAGTCCTCAAAGTCTTCACAAATCTCAACCAACTCACTTTGGGAAAAGCTCCCTTCTTAGGGACATCTTTGTTATTTTTCTTCTCTATAATATTTTTAAAAAAACAGATTTTTTTTAATTTCCTTTTTATTCAA